GCACTTTATGCACAATAAGTATTTTATATTTATTATTTCTTTTATATTTTTCTGCATATTATAAATAATAAAATAATAAATATATATATATTAAATAACTAAGAAATCAATTACTATTATGTAACAAATTGGCGTATGCATATAAATTTAACTATTACTCTTGTTTATTCACAATTAGGGTAAATAAATCAAAATAATCGTTCTTATATATTGTATATGATATATAATTAAATTTAAATGATATAAACATAGTAATATATCACACTTTTAATATGGATATTTATTAAATGAGGTTTCTACTCATATGATTTTATGATTATTTTCATATTTGTGTAACAAAACTTTACACCAATGATTTATAAATTACGTTATGATTATTTGAGTTTAAGTATTTTCCATTTTACATATACACTTCCATAAATTAAAAGGAATGAATTTATTATAGTTAATATATGCAAATCGTTATCAAATCGTATATTCTCCTTTTCTTCCATTACATGTGTGCGATATATATAAATATATAAACTATGTTACATGTGTTATATGCGTCTCTAATTATTTTTCCCTAGCAAATTTCAATTGAACCTAAAGCCGCCACGTCAGTTTAATTAATATGCTAATTGATTAACAACTAAGCAAGGTTACTTTTTAATTAATACAAACTTGAGGTTACATCTTTTCAAATGTTTCTCAATTAATATATAGGGGATTTCACCATAACTAATGCTAAATCATATTAATCGACTCAGTTATAATTCTCTTTGTTATTTTTTTCTACGGATACACTTACCACTCACATTCACACATAGATATATTATTAATGTGTGAGTTTCATGGTATTTATCTTTCTCAGAAGTTTACAGCCAATTCTTTTAGCTATGAAATTTACCTTTTTAGTTTGATGTCTTTGGTTTAATAATTAACCTATCAAACATCATACAACTATATTTTTATTGTTTTTTTCTTTTTACCAACAACGATCAAAGTTTAAAATTGAGATCAATATATGATTTCAGTATATTGAAAAATATTCAGTTAATATAATATGGACAAAAATTTAAAAACATTCAAATGTTTTTTAAAATATATAACAAATAGATTCTTCAGTTTATGAGAATTTTAATCAATTTTTAGAATATACCTTCTATACAATATCTTATATAGAAATTCATTTAAAAAAACTATACACTTATATAAGAATTCATCAAAAAATTTTTTGTTTAATTTTGAAAATAAACCTGCGCGTTTCAAATGAGGATCAAGTCTAGTTACTATAACTAAGCCACACTTTTGGCTACTAAACATAAACTTAGAGTCATCTATACCCTTCAAAGAGCGCTTATATTGAATCTGACATGGTGTAAACTATAACATATATAAAAAACAACTACATTAGAATAAAGAACTTATGTCATATCTCTGATATAGTCATCAATCTCTGGACATCGCTTTGTTGAAGCTTGATGTGATCACCAAAAATGTGTAAAACTGGTTTTGCTGCTAAATTGTCAAACCTTTCTATGATCTTCTGGATATATTCAAGAGCTTCAACCAAATTTAAGTCACTCGTCCTTTTCGGTAACTTTTTTGAGTACTAGGTGTCGAACATGCAATAAGCTTAAATCTGAGTCAGTGGAAGAACACCCAATTTCAACAAATACTTTAAAAGTCGATTTGATATAACTGATCCAGTAGAAAATGGTTTTTATAGAATATATTTAGTGTTAGGTGCCCATCAGATCGCAGACACCGGAAGCATCAGAAGGTATTAAATATTTGATATGTGTTCAAAGTTTTGAGATTAAATAATGAAAATGTATGAGCGTTACTCCTCAGTTAAGACACTAGTTTGTCTTTTTCTTTGTTAGTACAAGAATAGAGGAGAAAATTTGTGATACATGAGAGTCTCTCTCAGATATGTTGCTGCAAGTTGTTGTTGCTGGACAGCTGGAGCTTCCAGGTAAGAAAGAGTGGTGCTCGCTAAGGTTCTTGTGTGTAATTGAATCTTCTATTGGCAATGTAAACAAGCTTATATTTTTGTATATAAAATTGAACTCATAGGGTGACAATTTTTATTAGAGAACCGACTTTAAGAGTTCAAAGACGGTTGCAGAAAATAAAACGCGACAAGGCCATTCTCAAGCATGTGGTTGATAGGAGAAACCGTTAACCGTGAGGCCTCCATCAACACATATGGTTTGACCAGTTATATAAGAAGCTGCAGGTAAACACAAGAAGACCACTAGTGATGCAACTTCATTTGGCTCTCCAGCGCGACCAAGTGGAGTTCTACCGAACAATCCCTCCTTGAAACTGACGTCATCAAGATACTTCAAGAAAAAAATTTGAGATGTGGTTATAGAGGAAATGAGGTTGTAAATTTTTTTTAAAATGTAAAATTGTCTTGTTGATTACCGGTTGAGACAGAGGAGTGTTGATAGCATTTGGAGCAACAGCGTTGGCTCTTATGCCATCTTTTGCCCATTCACATGCCAAATTTCTTGCTAGTTGATTCAAAGCTCCTGTAAAAGACTTGTATGTGGAATCAAGAAAAGAAGAAAAAAAAGAAACACTTAATCTTGCTTCTAGTAGTACTTTGGTTACCTTTGGCTAGACTATAAATTGATCCGGATTCAAAGAATACAACCCCAGCAACAGAGGAAATGAAGACGATGCTTCCATAGCCAGAAGCCTTTAGCAGAGGATGTGAAAGCTGGCAAAAATGGTAAGCAGCTTCCAAGTTTGTTGTGATATGGAAATCAAAATCGTCTGCATCATATTCTGTAGTTGGCTTTGAACGAAGTCCGCCTACATTGTTCACCTATGTTGAACACAAAGAGGACTCCTAAAAGTTTCTTTGAATGAAAATGCCTTTTATTTAACGTTAAGATCATTTACTTACGAAAATATTGAGCTTGCCATTGAACAGAGAGGAGACCTTTTGCATCAAAGTTTCTCTCTCGGGTCGAGAAGTTACATCACAGACTGAACCACTCACTTGAAACCCTTTCTTTTCCCATTCACTTAAACTTTGATTAAGCAGTGTTTCAGATATGTCGCATACATGGATTCTAGCTCCAAAACCGGCTAGCTCCTCTACTATGGCATGCCTAAACATCCAACAAACATAAATTACTTAAAATCTTGACTATTCACAATGATAAAGAGAGAAGAACGACGAACCCTATTCCTCTGCCTCCCCCAGTTACAAGAGCAGTCATACCTTGGAGACTCCATCTTTTATCCATTTTTTTTTAATATGGCTAGCAATGGGCAGAAATGGCATATATTATAAGCTTGGATGAGATAAGTGTGCAATAAATGAGTATGTTTGGACGTGCGGTGGAAATGCCATGCGAGACATGCCAAAAATGTCTTAATTCGTCGTCGCACGCAAACAGTACTGTTAGTCGTCAAAATCTTGGATGTAAGCAAATTTCCCATTTGTCTTTTTCATCAACTTGACAGACAACGAACCTAGAAAGTCAGTAGCTGTAAAATGACTAATATCTTCAACCGAAACTTATTTGTGCTTTTCAGCAAATTGAACTCTGGCTTAAGAGAGAAACTCACAAATTACGTAAACAAAAACTTTTTAGGTGAACATTTAGACCGATTATTGAACGCTTAGAATGACTTTGAATGTTTATACTGATTTTTTCTTTAAAAAAAAACATCTTAGAAAAATTATTTCAATTTGTCACTTAACCGGCACTTAGACGCCACCAGCAGTGCCAGCCCTGACCTAAAGCTGGGGGAGCACCAGTTTTAGATGCCAAATTAGTTTAACTATTTGTGGGCATCACAAATACCAAAAGTTATATGGTGTTCGAACAACAGGGGCGCCAAAGTGTACAGTACTTTTGTTTTAGGCATTAATATATTATGGGCCAAACCCGGCAGTCTGGACCAATTTTTATAACATTAGTCTCAACTGTTTTGTTCCACTTACAGCCGGCTTTGTCGAAAGCACATTAGTAATGTTTCTATATTGGGTATGGGGTAGAGGTATTGCATCTATAACTTTGGTTAAAGCACGCAGGAGGCATCTATGGACGGCTGACACAGGCTTGCGAAATTAGGAAATTGAGCAAAGAAAATAAGAACGCAAAAGAAACTAAGTAAATCTTTAACTTCTCCCAGACGACTTAACTGAAGGTCGTCCGACCAGACGACTTATTTTAAAGTCGTCCAGGATAAGTAAAGTCGTCCAGATTTTATTGCGATTTTTCTGGTCAAACCTTGCTTATCCTGGACGACTTTAACATAAGTCGTCTGGTCGGACGACTTTCAATTAAGTCGTCTGGAGGACGTTAAAAATTTAAGTTTTATTTTTGAATTGTAAAACTAACCTGAGAAGACTTATCCGTAAGTCGTCTAGATTTAATAAAATAATGATATTTAACTTTCCCAGAGACGACTTAATTGTAAGTCGTCCAGAAAAAGTCAAGTATCTGACACATTTCGGTCAAATGCAAAAGTAACCCAGTTTATCCAGACGACTTAATTATAAGTCGTCTGGTGTTTTTATTTTTAACAAACAAATCTGGACGACTTATAATTAAGTCTTCCCATTTAAATTTCAATTGCAAAAATGACCTCATTGGACGACTTACGGGTAAGTCGTCGTCCAGACGACTTACTGGTATGTCGTCTGCGTCAACGTTTAGTAAACTAATGTGTTTTACTAATGTGTTTTATTTTGAATTTGCTGATGATTCGTCAGTTACATGCAGTGTATGGAGAATGGTTGTTGAAAGATTGCCGTTGGGATTTTGTGGTTGATGATCTCAAAGGAGCAAGATTGTTTTTATTGAATGAAGATTCAACACATGCTGAACTTGTTGCGATGGCACAAGAAGATTATAACCTGGACATGAGCACAGTCACTGTGGAGATTAGATACTCATTACCAGCAGAAATGATGATGGCTCCAGACACCCCTCCCATTCATGTTACAAGTGATAGACAAGTTCGTAACTTGCTCGAGATACTCAAAACTCATAGAGTATGTCTTTGTGTATCAAGCCGTAGCAAGGTAGAAACAGTTTCAGAGGAAAGGGAAGAAGCTGATGAATGGTTTGAAGATGATGAAGCTGATGAATGTTTTGAAGATGAAGGTGAAAATGTGTTGGTTGAAGATGAAAATCATGATGGGGAGGAAGATGATAAGGAGGAGGATGCTGAAATCTCCGTTTGCTCTAATGTTGCTGAAGCGGATGAGAATGGTGAGGATTATAGTGTTTATGGAAAGGTTAGAGATGAAGATGAGGAAGAAGTTGATGATGTGGTTTTTGAAGATTACAAAGATACATATGGTATTGAAGGANAAGATGAGGAAGAAGTTGATGATGTGGTTTTTGAAGATTACAAAGATACATATGGTATTGAAGGAGGACGATCGAATGGTAACGGTATCTATGTCAACCAGAGTTTTGTTAGCAAGGATGAACTGCTTTCAGAGCTGCGGTTGACAGCAGTGAGGCGTAAGTTCTCCTTCCGAATATACAAGTCAACGAAAACTCTCCTTGTGACAACATGTCGGGTTAGTGGTTGTGGATGGAAGATAAGAGCGAGTGTGAAACATGGGACAAACACTTTTTGGATAACAAAATATGTGGAAACACATACATGCTCAGTGGGAGACCGAATCGCTCAGCGGAGACACTGTACTCCGAAGTATGTTGGTAGGCTTTTCATTGATCGTGTTGGAATCATTGATGGGTTGACTCCGCAGCATATCAAAGATGCAATGAAGAACATGTTTGGCATGGAGCTTGATTACACCACTTCATACA